TGGCTCCCCTGTGCTTGGGGGCCAGCAGCCGCACCTGTGTGTGTAGGGGGGCCAGTTCCTGCTCCCTGTCCCGCCCCCCACACATGGGGTAGTGAGCTTCTGCTCCCGCCCCCTCCTCACCCTCAGCAGCAGGCCACAAGTGGGGGAGGAGGGGGGCTGCTCCCAGGTGCCAGTTAACTAGTAACCAGTACCCGCCCCCTCCTCACCCTCAGCAGCAGGCCACAAGTGGGGGAGGAGGGGGGCTGCTCCCAGGTGCCAGTTAACTAGTACCCAATAAGGGTGGTTCTTACCCGGTCACTGGTTAACTGGTTACCCATTCACAGCCGTATTTCATACCAGTCCAGGCTTATGGTGACTCTTTTGCAGCATCTCAAAGGTAACTTTGTGCCACTGCAGGTGGGCAGATTGACAGGAGTGTGGTTTTTGAAGATCAGACCCAGTGTTTTCTCCATTTCTTCCACTGTGGTGTGCTGTTAACAGCTGCCATGTTGAGTTCCAGAGGGGACTGCACTTCACTGGAGGGCGAGGGATCCTGCTATAGCACCGTGTAAAACGTTGTGGGTTGAAAGGGGCTGGAGAGCTGCACAAGCTGATGCTGGTTTTGTTTTGTGTGTAGCCGGATGTCAACCCCGGGAATTGTTGGGCTTTCCGTGGATCTCAGGGCTTTGCTGTTATCCGCCTGTCTAGCCACATTCGTCCCACTGCTGTGACTCTGGAGCACGTCCCAAAATCTCTCTCGCCCGTGGGCACCATCCCAAGTGCCCCAAAGGACTTTGCTGTCTTTGTGAGTGTCTTTCTCAGTATGGAAATGGGAAATGGAGGAAGAAAAGTCCATGTGTGGAGAAGGGGGTAGGGGTGGTTTCAGGATCCCTTTCCGTTCATAATCACCCGGTAGTATTGGGGACTAGGCTGTTTCCTTCCCTCAGAAATGGGAACCGCTGTCTCGCGAGGCGTGCTGCAGAGGGCTGGCTGCAGGGGTGGAGTGTTGGGGAGATAGGGAATGTGAGGCGGGAGGGGAGGGGTCCTGCAGAAGGAGTCATGGTGCGCAGTGGGTTCTGCATGTGGGAGGAGGAACGTGTTGGGAAGAGGAGACAGAGTACCTGAGGGAGGATGGGGTCTGAGGGGAGAGGGAATGGTGTACATGGGATAGGGGAAAGTGGGGAGGAAGGAAGGGAGGGTTGGCTGGAAGTACATGGGAAGGGACGGGGTGGGTACATAGTTGGGGAGGAGGCTGGGGGTGCCGCTGCACCTCCTGGTATGGAATATTTTCCATCATATCCAGGATTTTCAGTTGTTCAATGGCTCTGAGCCCCCAGCTCGCAGCATTGTCCCTCTACTGCTCCTGCATGTTCCCTGTCCTCTCACTGCCCTATTTGTTTGTGTGGCGCCCGAAAGCTGGAGTGGAGTTTAATTGCATTTATCGCTGTTTCCTTCTGTTCCTCTGGGCGGTCTGACTACCCCACATCCCTTCTCTCTTTCTGCTTCCTCATCACGCCGTTCTCCCTTTCTTCCCCACTTGTGCTTGGCCTCACAGGGCCTGGAGGAAGAAGACCAGCAAGAGGGCATCCTTCTCGGACAGTTCACCTACGACCAGGATGGGGATCCCATCCAGACGTTCCGCTTGAAGGTACGGAGGAAGATTGTAGGGCCCCAGGGAGTTCCTGCCATACTGAGCCCAGGGAGCAAAACCCAGCATCCCTAGTATTTCAAACCAGTCCAAGTGTCAGGTCATGCACCCACAAATGTCACTACCTCTCCTGTGCAAGGGTCTCTGCCCAGAACGCTTTAGACAGGCTGGTTTGGATCCAGGTCTTTTGAACTGGACAGGTCTTTTGCAGCTGTATCTTCCTGCCTTCCCCTCAAGCATTAAGTACTGACCACTGTTGGGGACATAGGATACAAGGATGGGGGGATCTGATCCCGTGCAGCAGGAGCAGGGAGACTGGATTAGATGGCCACTGGGCTGATCCAGTGCAGCATGCACTTGCATGTGAGCTACAGACTGTTTTGGCAACAGACTCTGGAGGAAGCTCCTGCTGTGATGCTCCCCTGGGTTACGAGGCTCCTTGCCACCACCTGTGTCTTCTGCTCCTGCTGTGCTTCTTGAAACCAAGAGCCCCCGGGCCTGCACGCATGGATTTCTAGGTCCCCACAGACCACACACTCTGTACAGGCTAGTGGTAGGTAGCTACTCTCTGCAGTACCTGGGCCCTGTCACTGGATGCTCACCATAATAAACAGTTTTGCCGTCCCCAAAGAGACTGGTAGGCACACAGGCTGACTGGCACGGCCCAGGCCCTTGCTTATAACAAAGCACTGTAATCGACTTAGAGTGAAAACAAAGGATTCTCGTGAGCAAGACAGGAGAAGTCATTCTTCCGCTCTACTCTGTGCTGATTAGGCCTCTGTTGGAGTATTGTGTCCAGTTCTGGGTACCACATTTCAAGAAAGATGTGGAGAAATTGGAGATGTCCAGAGAGCAACAAAAATGATTAAAGATCTAGAAAACATGTTCTGTGAGGGAACACTGAAGGAATTGGGCTTCTTTAGAAAAGAGATGACTGAGGGGGGACATGATAGCAGTTCAAGTATATAAAAGGGTATCACAAGGAGGAGGGAGAGAAATTGTTCTCCTTGGCCTCTGATGATAGGTAGGACAAGAAGCAATGGGCTTAAATTGCAGCAAGGGAGGTTTAGGTTGGACATTAGGAAAAACTGTCTACCTGTCAGGGTGGTTTAAACACTGGAATAAATTGCCTACAGAGGTTGTGGAGTCTCCATCCCTAGTTTAAGTGAATGTTGGCTAGACATCTATCAGGGATGATCTAGTAGGTGCTTGGTACTATCATGAGGGCAGGGGACTGGACCTGATGATCTCTCGAGGTGCCTTCAATTTCTAGTATTCTATGAAAGGTTTACTTACAAAGATTAAGATTTGCAAGGATAAAGATTACGGCTATGTCTACACTGGCATGATTTTCCGAAAATGCTTTTAACGGAAAAGTTTTCTGTTAAAAGCATTTTCAGAAAAGCGCTTCTAGATTGGCAGGACGCTTTTCCGCAAAAGCACTTTTTGCAGAAAAGCGTCCGTGGCCAATCTAGACGTGGCTTTCCGCAAAAAAGCCCCGATCGCCATTTTCACGATCGGGGCTTTTTTGCGGAAAACAGTACTGTGCTGTCTACACTGGCCCTTTTGCGCAAAAGTCTTTCGGAAAAAGACTTTTGCCCGAACGGGAGCAGCATAGTATTTCCGGAAAAGCACTGACAATCTTACATGAGATCGTCAGTGCTTTTGTAGAAATTCAAGCGGCCAGTGTAGACACCTGGCAAGTTTTTCCGCAAAAGCAGATGATTTTGCGGAAAAACTTGCCAGTCTAGACACAGCCACCATGTAAAACAAAAGGTAGAACTCACGTCTTAGTCTTACCTTAAATGCTGTTTGGCTAAAATCTTTGTTTTAAAGCAAACCTTGGTGTCACTAGCCCACATGACCAGGATCCAACTTTCCTGAATGCAAAAAGTGCTGTCTTTTTGCTTCCTCAGTGAAAGATGACAAAAATGTGTCATGGTTGGGGGAGGTTGTTTTTTTAGCTTCTCCTTCTCTGTCCTCAAACTCATTGTTTTCTCCCCAAAAATGGGAGGATAACTCCTGTGATCCCCTTCCTGGGGTGCTGGCTAAGGTGTCTTCCCATACTCCTGTTTGACATTTCTCTGCCCCCCACAGTCACCTGTATTCTTGTTGACTTTCACATGGGTAAATAGGGCTTCTGCAATGTATGCGTCACAATGCTTGACTTCCATCAGAGGCAAGGATAGGTGAATAGACATGCTTTGTCTAGCATAGGGATGGCAATAATTTTGGATGGGGAGCCACTCCAAGAATTTGGAAAGTGGTTGAGGGCCACACTCTTCGATAATATTAATGGAGGAGATGTGGGGTCTGGGATGGAGTGGGGTGGTACAGAAGGGAGTTTAGGTGAAGGAGGCAGTTGTGACCTGGATCATTGGACTAGAGTGAAGGGGGTTGGATTGTGACCCGGGGCAGGAGGAGACTGTGATTTGGGGCAGAGGATTGGGGTGCCAAATCTGGGAGGGGATATGAGTGCAGGAGGGGGCAGAAGGGGGTGCCAAATCTGGGAGGGGATATGAGTGCAGGAGGGGGGCAGAAGATTGGGGAAGGGAGGAGCTGGGGTGCTAGAAGCAAGCTCTGGCCAGGAGACTTACCAGCCAGCAGCCTGTTCCTGAATCAGCCTCCCTCCCTGCCCATCTCCGCACAGGCTGCAGCCACGTGCTCTGTGAATAACTATGAGTCCCTTCTGCTTCCTGGCTGCCTGTTATAGAAACAGGCAGCTCCCATTGGCCAGTTTCTGGCTGGAAGCTGGCCAATGGGATTGTATGTGGGGTGGGAGTAGCTCCTAAATCCTTCCCTCCCAGCTGAGTTTTTAAAGTGAAGCTGCCACTCAGCCCCGTTTCTGAGTGGCATGCAGGTGGGACAAGGCAAGCAGGGTGCCTGCCTGGGGCTGTCCGTAGTGTCCGTGGGCCGGATCCGGTGGCTTGGCGTGCCAGATGCAGCCTGTGGGACATATTTTGCCCAGGCCTGGTCTAGCAGAAAACCCATCTAGTTACAAACTGACGGGTTACAAACTTTAAAACATAATTTCAGTGTTGTATGTAACTTCTTAAATATCATCAGTGCATACATTTCATTGCACTATTAATGACCAGTATCGTGTCAGCTTTCATTTGATACCTTACAGAACCCTGTTTATGGAACAATAAATATCACAGTGTTAGGGGTAGGGAGTTTGTCAGGACTATTAGGAGTTGCTGTCACAGAACAAAGACCCCTCTGCCAGTTGGCATGGGAGGCTGGGCTGTGGCTTAGCTAGAGAGGTGACCTGCCTTTTGGAAAGATACTCTGGGCTTGACTGGATAAAGCTGAAACCACTTGATACGTTTCTCTCTGTGCTGTCCTGTAGAACTGATTAGCAAATTCTCCACCTGCTGTAGAATTCTACAAGAAGGCTCCAAAGCCTACAGAGGGGTTCCCATTCTCTGATCATACCAAGAGCCAGAACTTCCACCCCACTCCAGTCTGTGTGCGCTGCTCTGGGAGCACAAAGCAGCCCGAAAGCTGGTTTAACCAGCCCCTGGGGATTCCCCCTGCACACAGGAACCCTTGGCTGAAGGAGAATCACCGATGTGGGTCCTATGCCCCACTCAGTTTTTTTTATCTCTCTGGCATAGGGGATGTGGCCTAGGAGAAGAGTCCTGGCAGCAGCCACTTCTGTATCTGGCTGACTCATGTGTGGCTCAGGCACCTTTGCATCTAGATGATCCCTGATTGCTGGGACAGCCTGGTGAGACCATTGGATAGGACTATGCAGAACCAGGGGCCAGAGAGCTGGCTTAAAGCAACTTGTACCTCTGCCCTTTCCCCTCTGCTCTTGTGCCAAGAACAGCTTTGTCAGAGTATCTGACCCACTGAAGTTTGTAAAGTACTTTCCATAGGACCCTACTGGGTCTGTTCCTATTAACTGGGAAGGTGATTAGGAACTCTCTGATGTGTCTGAGTGAAGACCCCTCCCCAAATCAGTGAGGAATCTGAGGAGTGGAGGCTGACTTGCAAAGAAATGGTGTTTCTTTCTGCAGAGATTGACCCAACCTATGAAATGTTTCCTTTCTTTGCCCAGGGTGAAGATATGGGCACGTTCCAGGTGGTGGAGCTACGGATTCTGAGCAACTGGGGCCACCCAGAGTACACCTGCATTTATCGCTTCCGTGTGCATGGGGAACAGGTCCACTAACCCTTTCCTGGCTCTCCTCTGTCCCCAGCTGGCTACCTCAGATTCTTCACCGTCCACACGCAACAACAATGGTGGAGAGAAGCTGTCTCCAGAGAGAATGGCAAACCTGTTAATGAAATTCTTCCTCTTTTTGCTGCTTCTCTCAAGTCCGGGCTGGGAGCGGTGGGAGAATGACTGTCCTTGGCAAATCTAGTCCCCGTATGCTTTTGTGTGCTGCCACTGCCAGAAGAAGAGCTTGTATTGGGGGGGGGAGGAGGATTTTAGTGTGCGAAAGGTGGTGTGATGGGAAAAGAGGCTCTGATCCAAGTCAGATGGGACATTTTAACTTTTTTTTAAATTTTATTTTTAAATGAGTCTATGCAGTCCAGACCTTTTCCTGCCTCCCTCTTCCCAGCCCCAGCCCTTCCAGATGTTAAAGAAGGCTATAAGATAGCATTCCACAGTTTATTAACATACATGTAATTAGTATTATCATTATACAGTGGTATGGAGGTGTGCTATATTTGGCATCTTTGGTTGGGAACCCCCATCTGAATGTCAGATGTTGGAAGAGTGGGCACATGACCAAATAATTTTGCACTATTGTCCATTCCCTTCCACTATTTGGATCAGTGGTTTGTTTTCATTGGACCCAATGGCTAGCTTGCCATGGGTTGACTTAGGATCTCCTGACCCTGCAAAGTGGCTAGCAAGCATTTTAGCAGGGGGAAATAATGAGGGCACCAAACATGTATTAAAGAGTTAATATATAAGCAAAAGACTTGGAGGGGTTTAGTTCTTTGGGAGAGAATCTAATCTCCCCGGGATTGTAAAGCCTGCCCCAACAATGCAAACCTTTGACTCAGGTCAGTGTATTATATAGCTATCAAAATACATCTTCTCTTCTCCCACAGTTGAGTGCTATTGGATTTCACCAGTATGCCAGGCTGTGGCCCAGAGTGGGAGAAGATCCAGTATAATTCCCATGTGTCGTTCTCAGACATACATCCCCAAATGGGCGCTAAACATTCACAAGGCAAAATGCCTGCTGTGATGCCCTCTAAATCTTTTCCTACGAGATACTGTTGTTTGTAACCATGAAGGATGTACTTTTCCGTGTGATGTGTAATTGACCTGTGGGACTTCGTACCACAAGGAATACAACTGAGGCAAATTGCTTAGATTAAAGGGCTAGACACTTAGTAGAAGTTGTAGTAGTACTAACTAGAGTGAAATGGCCAGGGCTGTTAAATTCGCAGGCTTTGTGGTGGGGAACTGATCAGTAGCTAAGTTCAGAAGAAAATTTCCCTTCATGACTGCTGCACAATAAGATGCCATGGTCCCGGCTGGAGACAGGATACTGAGCAGGGATCAATGGTAGTGCCTGCCTGCTTTGCTTTAGGAAAATCCTAGTCAAAATTATAACTGGCTGGGGGTGTAATAAATGGATGACACTCCCCCAGTACATGTTCATCTGTATATAGACAACTGTACATAGCAAGTAAAGTCTAGACTGTAATTATCCAGACCCAGGGGGGTTTGATGATGGGGATACAAGGGCAGATATGAAGGTATGAGTGTGATCACTGGACTGGCACAAACCCTACAGGGTAATGAGACAATATTATACCAGTTTTGGTGTTTGTTAGGGGGATGGCGACCCTGATGGCTGTACAATCCAGGCCAGGGGTGGGGAAAGGCAGCAGCCTGAGCCGAGCGAGGGGGCAGCAAGGCTGACTGAAGAGTGCTGTGATGTGGAGCTCTCTGTGAGTAGGGATGGTGAGGCAGGCTAGGGCAGGCTGGCAAAGATCTGTGAAGAAACAGGGTTTAGCTGTGGGAGAACCTTGCTATGTATGGGGCCTGCAAGGGAGAGTATTGATGGTGGAAGCCGTGGTTCCAGAAGGAAGCTTGTGGCTGAAGCTGGGACTGGACTTTTCCCTCAGGAGACAGGTGGGCAGGTCTATGTGACAGCCCACCCCCCATTCACAGCTGCTGTCCTTCCCCTGGTGTATGGGGAAGTTTGGACAGGGCACAACAGGCAGGGAGGGGCTGACAGCTGCCTCTTTCCATGGATTTATCTGAGAGCAGGAAGACAGCACTAAAGGGGGAAAGGCTCTTCCCTCTGAGCTCTCAGCCACAAGGGACACTCCCTGGGTTTGTGGTGTTCCCAGCTGGCAAGAGACAGGAGGGGCTGTGAACAGTCTGGCTGGGGTCTTATGGGTGGGGGTGGGAGGGAGACTCTCATCAGAAGGGCAGAACAGAGTAGGGGCTCACGTCAGAGGCCTTGAGAAGGTAACACCTGGCTGCTCAGAGAAGGGTTGTGTGTGTTTCTCTAAGTTTGGGCCAGCATGCTTTGTTCTTAGTTTAGCATATGTTTTGAATTGGTTCTTATGTATCCATATTTGTCTTAGTTTCCTTTCAGATAAAGAGAAGGGATCACTTTATTCCATTTGAGGCTAGCAGCCCCCACATCCAGTGTGGAAGGAGTGGTACTTAGCATGTGCCAGGCTGTCTTCAACTCCTGTTTGTCCAATAGAGCAGGGATAGTGTGAAGGGGAAGTGAATGAGTGACTCTCTTGCACAGCCAGCAATGGGCTTTTTCTGGGCAGCCTGTCTTGCCTTAAATCATCCACAGGAGTCAAGCACTGCCCTTCCTATTGGTCAGCTCCTCCGTTGCCTCATCAAGCATGTGGCTCTGATGCTTGCGCTTTGGAACTGGCTGCAGGGGGCATTGACTGAGTGGTAAATGGCTCTTACACCAGACACTGATTGTCTCAGACACAAGAGAGTGGGAATCGAGCTGTGGTCTCCAATGTGGATGTGCATAGCCCCCTCCCTAGAACTCAAAGTCCCACTTGCAAGGGACTCGGACTGACAACTGAAGATGGGGGTGTGAGGCCCTAGCCCACCCACCAGGAGCAGTTATCCAGCCTTTGGTGAGTCTTTAAAATCTGACTACTGATCCCACACTGCCCCAAAATCTAGGCATGCTGGAACAGTGGGGAAAGGAGAAAAGGTTTGTTAACTTTTCTTGTGCTCTAGCACCAGCTGTCAAACTGTAGGACAGTGTTTATTTAAAAGTGCTGCTTCAACTGCAGTCCTACCACTTATCAAGATGCCAGGTAATCATGGTACTAAATGCAGGAGAGGAGGAGTGCAGCAAGGTGGTAATGAGTGGGAAACATCTGCTAAAGCAGAGCTTCTCTATTTACTCACCTTGGGTGCCCTCCCTCCTCTTGTGTGTGTGTGTACCAGGAAAGTGTTATAAATGAACCTTACACAAACCAAGCTGTATTGAATTCTGTAGCCTATTGCAAATGCTGCACTGTTTTGTGTGTCTTTTTATCTACAGACTGTAATTTATGCCTATGCAAAAAAAAAAAACAAAAAACCCTAAGACAATAAATTGTCAAAACAGCTGAGAGTTGTAGCCATTCCTTTAATGTGTTTGCAGTTGGGAAGAAAGGGGGTAGTGTTTGGACAAAAGTCACTTGTCCAGACAGATTCACAAGGGGGACTAAGGCCTTATGCCCTCCTGTCTAGGTGTCCAAGCTCTCTTTCAAAATTCCAGCAGGATGAGGAGGGAGCTACCTGAGCTAGTCAGTAGGAAATGCAGGAAAGGAGCATGGCCAAAGGAAGTTAGACACTTACCTCTGCCCAAGATTCACAACTATGAACCCTACCTAGGAGTTGGGCATGTTAGGCCTTCTCCAGAAAACCAGGAAACACTACTCATTGTGTACAATCTAGTGGAACTCACCCAACATGTGACAAGTTCAAATCCCTGTTCTGCCTTGTGTTAAGGGACTTGAATCAGGTGAGTGCTCTAATCACTAGGGCAGGGCTACTCAACTTTGGAAGTCCTGGCAACCGCAATGATACTCACTGCACATGCCGAAGGCTGCAACTTAAGTATGGTTGCATATACATGCAAATATATATATGCAAATAGCTTCTTTCATGCTGACGGGCATGAATACAACAATTAAGGCAAGACTACACAATATACAAAGTCTGTTCTACTGATATTAATAAAATGTAATATTTACCTGATTTCCACCCATATGACAGCACTTCTAATGAGCAATGACAGTCCAGGAATTTAACTACTAAAGCACATATCAACAGAAGACCATTATGTAGACTAATTTTTTGTTTTGACTTCCACCCCTGGGCTGCATGTTGAGCCCTGCGTAAACCCGCAAACAAATGGGCGGCAGGCCGCAAAACGAGTAGCCCTGCACTAGGGGATTCCAGGTTGTCTTTCAATTGCTTGTTGAAGCTGTGCACTTGTATAAAACACTTGCCAAACCAGTTTAAATCTCATTCTTTGAAAGGGTAACTGATTTGTTGAAGGGGGAATGTGGTGGACACAATATACCTAGACTTCAGCAAAGCTTCTGACATAGTCCTACATGACACTCTGATAAGTAAAATGCAGAGTGGGCAGAACTACCATTAAGTGGATATATGAACAGCCGCAAAGAGTAACTATTACTAGAATGATGTCTGACAGGAGGGAGGTCTCACCTGCAGCTCCACAGGGATCTGTTCTGGGTCTACAAACAGACTGATCAAATGTACAGATGAGGCAAAATTAGAGGGGTGTTGCTAATGCTTTGGTGGATAGAGCTAAAATTCAAAGGGGATCTTTATAAATTGTAGAACTGGGCTAGAGCTGACAATATGACATTCAGTAAAAACAAATGTAAAGTGCTAAGAAGGGTCCGGGAGTTATGGTAGTTCACAATCTCAACCTGAGAGAGCAATGTGATGCTTCTGCAAAAAGAGAGCAAATGCAATTTTAGGTTGCAGTAAGAGGCCTAACATGCAAGCCACAGGTGATAGTACGCTCTACTTGGCACTGGTTAGGCCTCAGCTGGAGCACCATGTCCAGTTTTGACATGTATACACAGGCTGGAGAGAAACTGGAAAGGAGCTAGAGGTGAGCAACAATGATGATCAAAGGGGTGGAATGCAAGCCCTGTCAGCAAAGGCTGAAGGACTTGGGTAGGAAAAGAGAAGTGAGGGGCGGGCACCATGTTAGCTGTCTTCAACACCTGAAAGGCTGCTATAGAAGAAAGATGGAGAAAAGTTGTTCTTTTGCCACAGAGAGTAGGACGGGAGGCTGTGGGTTCACGCTACAGCATAGCAGATTTAGATTAAATCTCAGGAAAAATGTAAGTGTAAGAACAGGAGGACAACAGAACAGCTGCCTATGGAAGCTATTCCACTGGAGGTTTTGAAAAGGTGGCTAGATAAGTCAATCAACTGGATGGCTAAAAACACCAAATACTGCCCCGTGGGAAGAGGTTTGATTAGATGACATGCTGTACATTCCAGTCTCTGCTTCACATACCAGCTAAGTGCTTAGTAACTTCTCCCCCATCTTTCGTGAGTGCCTTGGATATAGCTCATTTGCACTATTCAACCGTGGGGAAAAAGCAAAGGCACTGAGGGGGAAGAGGCAGGGTGGCTGCAGAGCCTCACATCTGGAGGCCAGGAGTGCAGCCCCACAGTCAGTGGTGGAGCTCAGCAGCCAGCACAGCTTCCCCCAGCCACCGCTCTCCACAGCTGCCCTGCCTCTTCCCTCAAGTGCCTACCTTCATCCCCAGTCCAGCAATACTATCCCCGCTGCTGGCACCAGTGCAGAGCCCCACAGCCAGTGCTAACAGATGGGCCAGCATTGACTTCCACTGGTCCAGGCCTGAAGTTGCTGAGCAGAGAGGGTCACCATAGTGCTATTTGCTCCCACCCCTTGGGTATTGGAAGCAGGATTCTGAGGAGTTCCATTCCTGGCTGGCTGGGGAACAAATGAAATATTTACTAAATGTATGAGTTGGAAGCTGGCACACTGGGGCTTGGGTACTCTTGTTTATTTTCCAGCTGGTAAGAGGAATGCAGACAAGGATCCTGCACATGACCATAGCTGCATGACTCTGGCTAGCACAAATAGAGGCTAGCTGCAGACACACCCTACAGCAAGTTCCAGTCCACACTTCAATACAGAAGCAGTGCCATCATAGCAGGAAAAAGTAAAACCCTAAAGAGCTCTAAATTACTTGGGCAGGGAAAAAAAAGAGACATATTGTTCAGATTCCACACACTGTGGATCCAAGTGTTCAGACAGAAGCTAGAGCTAGCTAGAGAATGTCACCTTTTATAGTTTGAATAGGTTCTAAAGACTGGCTAGAAATAGATTAGTGTTAATTCTCCACTGCAAAAGGGACAGATCTATAATGTTTAACCTAGTGGCTCTCAAGCAGGGGTATGCAGAAGTCTTTTAAGGGGGGCACGTCAACTCATCTAGATATTCGTCTCATTTTACAACAGGCTACATAAAAAGCTCTAGTGAAGTCAATACACACTAAAATTTCATATAATTAAATGTTTATACAGCTCTATGCAGTATATCAGCAGTTCTCAAACTGGGTCATGAGTTTATTTTAATGAGATTGCCAAGGCTGGTGTCAGACTCACTGGGAGCCCAGGCTAGAAAGCCCAAGCCTGAACAACTTAGCTTAGCTGAGGCCTGCTCTGGCTTGGGACTCCAGGCAGGGTGTGGAAAGCAGGGAAACTAACACCAGACCTGACAGTAGGAATAGGCTCAATGTACAGAAAAAACATAGTTGTTATTGTAACTTCACTGCTTCCCAGAATTACAAGGCTCACAAGTGAAAAACAGGCTGTTTACACCCCCTGCCCCAAGTGATTTCTAAATCGGAGGAAAAATGACAAACAATGGTCCTGTTGCACATTAGAGACTAACAAAACTATATAAATAGTTATCATGACCTTTCATGGGCACAACCCACTTCTTCAGATGTGGCTTGTGCCCACGAAAGCTCATGATACTATTTATGTATTTGTGTTAGTCTCTCTAAGGTGCAACAGGACCATTGTTGTTTTATAAGTTAGGCTAACATGACTATCCCTCAGAGGAAAAATGAGAAAGTTAGCAATTGTTCAGAAATTGAGAAGTGGCACAGCTACATTATGTCTGATTGCATAAGCAAGTACGTTTTAAATGGTGATTTTTTTTGGGGGGGGGAGGGGAGAGTTACAAAACAAAAGTCAGATGCTTAAAGGAGTAAAGTAGTCTGTAAATGCTGAAAGCCACTGGTTTAATCTACCTGTAGTAGAGAAGTAGCACTCAGACTGTGCTGTCAAAGAAGTCCCTTGCTCAGGTATCACCAACCCTTTATACTGAAAGCACATCTTTCACCTTACAGCTCGGGTCGCCATGGCTCTCAACACCATCCCCTTATGCCCACCCTGCAGCTTCCCTCTTGTATGGGAAAGCAGCCTAACTTCACCAATATGCTTAGGAAACTTATCCCCCTACATAAGTACAAAGGCTGCCCTCACACCTAGCTGAGAGTAGAGTAGGCGCAGGGTAGATACTCTTGTCATTTTGTGACAGCACAGGGATTCAGGGGTTATTAGCAGCCATTTCCATGACTAATACTTAATGGCACTTAGAGCAAGACGACACTTTAACTTAGAACAAATGTTTTATTTTATACATCACACCAGTCTCAGTGATCTTTGTATGCTGGTCACAACAAAAAGGAGATCATACCACCTCCTTAGCGTGAACTTACGCAAATCCTCTTCGGGCCCAGGCTTCCCTCTTTCAGCTTGGGCACAAGGAATGAAGAAAGAGGAAAACAGGCTGAGGCATGAAGAAAGTCTAAAATTCTCTGCCTCCCTTAAGAGCAGTGAAATTAGATGGACTTTTAATGCTACTATAAGGTCTGAGTATGAATGAAGCAGGCGTCCATGTTTTGCTAGCAACACTTCATACTCCTTCACAACTGGGATGCTATTAATAGTGTAGTTGCTTATAGTTTCTCCTGAGAGACCTCTGGCAGGTAAGCAACTGGCTCGGGAGGAACCATGCTCTTACTCTCCACTTCCATTCTGTTTATCCTCAAAGATGGGTTTAGGCTTTAAGTTTCTATAGTTAACAGCTTCCAAAGGTGGAAGCCCCCTGAAACAAAGAACAGTGACTGACTTCATTCTAAGTACAAAGCGATAGTTCTGCCTCCTCCCTCAAGATATTAAGCTTCCCACTAGTCAGGAGGATAATCAATGTCCTTGACGCTCACCTCAGGGATGGGAGAGGAGAGAACAAGTTTGGAGGTGACCAGCTATAAAGTCTGAGGTAAAAGGACATGATACGGATAAAATAAAGTCACTTCAGGAGTGTCCTGGTAGGTTTGTCCAAGAAACTAGATTTTTTTTTAAAAAATAAAAGATATAAAATCTCCATGGGGTCCTTAGGCTGAAAGTGCTTCCCTAAAGCTTGGTACCAACTAATCACTTCCCTCTTCTGCAAAGTGTAGGACTGACCAATCTTATCACTGCCATGGCAAAGCCTGGCCTGTGAGTTCCAGGAGAGAAAGGAGCACTAGGAGCAGGCCATCAAATGAGGATGGCATTTGTTTTCAATTTCCAACCTCAAGAGGACTGTTCCTCTTGTGATATTGTCTAGTCATAGAGGAGACATATACTGGTGACAGGCCACAGTGTTTCTGCCCCACAGAGCAGTCTGAAACAAACAAACATTCTCACTATGTTACTCTGCTGCCAGGGCCTCGAGGGTAGGTAAGAATTGTTCGAGCATGCATTGAACAGAGGTGAGAAGAGGAAGGATGGGATGGGAAAGTAACCTCTGTACTTAGAAACTTTACTCAGAGGTGGGATTAAACAGCTATTGGCCTTAAACTTGGGGAGGAGGGGAGAAGTACTGAGGAAAAAAGTTAAACATACCTACTTAAGGTCAAGGATCTCTCTTGAATTCACCTTCCTCTTTAAGGTCCATCTGTTCAGTTTTCTGCATCCCCCTCCAAACTGCAGTCACTGCCACATTAAAATTAATCCATTTAAAAACAGTTTAAGACAGGGTGAGTCCAGAACTCATTTGGCACCTTACGGGAGGGTGAGGAATTGCTGACCCCTAGGACCACCCACTATTCAGTATATTTTAAACCCTGAAGTTACAGGTCTTCTAATGCCAATGGACTGGAGACAGTGTAGAAGGTTAAGACCAGATGGGAAATGGAAGCAGCCAAATGGCTCTTCTCCAATGTATCTGGATTTTCTGCTCATCTTCATGCATATTAATAAAAAGAATAAAAATTAAGAGCTCGGGTTGTACAAAAGTGTGTTGGGGGTAGAGGGAGGAGGAAGGTGTCAGTCAATCAGTTCCATGTGTCTCGTCACCTTCATTAGCTTATTATAAGTTACAACCCCTCTGTCATTCCTTGGGAGGGAAGGTTCTTCTGCAGCAGATCAGCTGGATGGGTTTTGGTTTAAGCTGCTCTGGATCTCTTGGCTACAAAATGGAGGGAGGGGGAGAATTCCTCAGAGTGGGGAAAGAAAAAAATTCAGCACACACAAGCCCCCTGAGACTTCACTTTATGGCGCTGGCCCCCACGTCGCCGGCCCCCTCCTCCAGCTTTTGACTGCAAAACAAGAAGGGGAATTTTAGTTTGTGGTGACCCCCCCCAAAAAAGTCAAAGTAACAAACATAGGCAAGGCATTCTACCCACACTCATGGCAAGGTCATCAGGAGCACCTCACATGATCAGATTCCTACTCTTCTAAGCAATAAGGAGACAAGCAGAAACTGGTTAACTTTTGTTCTGGTCTTCTGGGAACCCAATTTACAGAAGCACTGAACACTTAGCTCATATGAAGTCAATGAAAGCTGAAGGTGCTCAGAATCAAGGACCTTGATTTCTAATATTGTGAGTGATGGAAGCAGAAAGTCTCCACATAACACGACTGTTCCAAGCCCAGGCTACCAAGCCCAGTTATCTCAAATCAGCTGCCAGGGTGCAAAAATACCTTATTGCCCTCTCGGTTGTGGGGCTCTTCATCCAGTGCAGTCTGAAGGAAAGCAGCAAGAAGAAAGAAGCAGAGATGAGCAAAAGCACAGCCACACAAACACCCAAGGGATAGGGCAAAAATACTGAGTAAGCATAACAGGCTGGGAGTGCAACCCTTTATCCACAGGGACACCGCAGCACAGAGGAGACAGAAAGGCAAAAAAAGAGAGAGATCTTAATCCAGGGAAAGAACACTGCCTCTTCCCAAGCCAGGCTCTGTATGATCTGACCAAAGGGAAGTGAGACAGCTGGCCTAATGCCTTTACTTGGACTGTAAGCTCATTGTGGCAGAAGCTGTGTGTTTGCACTGCGCCAAGCAGAATAGGGCCTCAGCCCACCAAGAGAGCTCCTAGGCTCTATCTGAACACAAATATTCCATAGAGAGGACAAGCTCCCATCAATTAGCTGTGAGGATTGTCTGAGTTACCAGAGGCTCTAGCTCCTTGCTGGGGTACTGCTGGTTGTACTAGTTATTGCCAAGTTAACAGTCCAAAGGGGGGAACAGCACTGGCATTTTGAGGGGCTGAGACAAGCCAGTTGGCAGGAAGGATGAAGTGAATAGCCAGAAGACACTTAGATGTCTTTCGCTAACCTGTGGTTGCAGGGCACTAGAAGGTACTGATGGTGTTGATCCTGATGAAGCTGCTTCATCCCCCACCGGAGGCCCCCCAGCTGCTGTTCCACCTGGGGGCACAGCATCCTCTCGTTTCGTAAGAGGTCCCTTTTTTGTTGACTGCATCTTGATTTGCTGGGGTTTGGAGTTCATTGGAGAGTTGTTGGTGGTCTGGAGTAACTGATGGGTACAAATGGACAAGATGGAAGAGTACACAGCATTAAAATGGCAGGGTCAGCCAAGCAAGGTTCATCTTAAGGGTTTGTTGCAAGTTAGGGCTTAGTGAATTACTTCCATTACACATAAGTGAACTACTGAGGCAGTATCAGCCTATGGGTGTCCATGCTGGCCCAACAACATGCCCCAGAGAAGCTACATAGAGTTGAGAGGGCAGTTCAGTGTCTATAGCACAGCTAGTCCTTCACATCAAGGGGATACCTGTCCCTGGAAGACAGACAACCCCAGCCTCCCTACCCACTCAATTTCACACAGGCTAGATAGCCATCAGGCTGCAATATACATGCTGGACACAACTAGCCTGAGTTTTGCTTGAAATTTCCAACTAAGCTTTATCCTCTCATTTCCTGATTACCCAACTTGCCCCCTTGTTGTAGGGAGTTAAGGTTTGCTGGGAATGCAAAATGTCAAGGGTACGGCTCCTCAGCCTTTACCTTGGTAATAGTACCCACTGCTTTTGTACGGCCCTCACGGAAGACCAGCCGCTGGTCTATATGTAAGTACTCGGGGGTCTTGATGAAGCGGAAGTGCACGGTAGCCTTGTCCCCTGTCCATAGACAGTCTTTGTCCATGCTGAGGATAGTGGCTGTCTGGCGGATGCTGCCACAATGCACTGTAAACAATAATGTACCAGAAGTTTTCAATTAGAAAATGCCACTAGTGGAACAAGCCTCAGATTAGTGCCCAAGGTCATTATCGCTAATCCATCCACAGCACATTTGAGCTCAGAATGAAAGAAACCTATTGTATTCTAAGCAGCTCACCGTTGTGGTGACAAATGCATTTGTCTGTAGCTCAGAAAAGAGCATAAGTATTGAATACAGCAGTGGGTCTTAATGTTCTGCACTTGCTTTCCCAGAGATGCATGCAATGAAACACTGAGAACCAAGCAGCAGGGGTCAGTCCATAGTAAAGAGAAGAGCAAGGTATGTTCTGTAAATGATGAAGCTGAAGAACCTCTGAGGTAGAGGCTTGCTGAATTTTGGTGGACACTGGGTAGGCTTTCCTCTTCCTAAGCACACTAGTTCTTACCAGCAGCAATCCTTGTGTTTCTAAATCTGCTCTCACCCATAATGAAATGGGGGAAGTTAATGTGAGGAACTATGCCCTATATCTTGAATAAAGCAGAAGTCACAGGTGGGTTAGGCAGACTAAGGCTAAAGCAGAAATCTACAACTAAGCTGCACCACTGGGGACTAAAGGTCAGAGAAAACTGCTACGCCTACCCATGGCCTGATAGCGTGGACTGATGGTGGTGGGATGATGCAGGACCAGAATCTCTGCTTCAAATTCCCAGGATGCTTGTGGATTCAGCCGGGGAGAAACCATCACCATACCTTTCCGGATGGAGGAACGTTTGATCTAGGGAAAAAAATAGGAAAATTATAAGATTTAAGAATCATGCTTACTACAGAAATAATAGATTAATTTCTTTCACTCTTTTCATATAGAGGGATCGAGGCATTTCCCAGATCAACAATTACTCATAGCCAGGGCTCAACAAATGCACTCGCCCATGGCGAGTAGATTTTTCCAGCTGGTTAGTGCAGGGGCGGGCTGGCCTGGTGGGCCATTGTGATGGGCTAGCCGAAGCCCGCACTATGGGCGGCGCGGCCCCATCCGATCCACCGCCCTGGGGGGTGGAGGAGCACAGAGCCGCTGGGAAGGGGGAAGTGCGGCGATTCTTCCCACCGGGCTGCCTGCGTGCAGCTCCAGCACAAGGAGGCAGGGCAGGACACCAGGTCATTGGTATGACCTGGCCCTGCTGATTTTAAAGGGCCGTGGCAGCTTGGCTCTGGCCGCGTGTCCCTGGGAGCTGGCTGCGGCACGCGGCACAGCCAGGGCCCGCCCCGCTGGCTCCAGTCCTGCCACAGCCCCAGCCCCCCTTTGTCTCCACGCCGCCTGTTCCCCACGCTGACCCTGCACCTCAGACCCCCTGCTCAACCCCTGGCTCCTGTCCTGCCACGGCCCCAGCTCCCCCTTTGTCTCCGCGCCGCCTGTTCCCCGCGCTGCCCCTGCACCCCGGACCCCCTGTGACCCTTTGGCTCTGCGCCGCCCTTACACCCCGCACCCTGCTCCCCCCAATCTCTGACCCCCAGCTCTCTGCTGCCCATTCCCTGCACTGCCCCTAGACCCCGATCCCTCTGCCTCTCCCTGCCCGTTCCCTGCACTGCCCCTCGATCCGAATCCCTCTGCCCCTCCCGTTCTCTGTGTCCCATTCTCCGTGCCTCCACCGCACCCCCGCCCCCTGCTCCCCCCTGATCCCTGCCCCCCCAGCTCTGTGCTGCCCATTGCCTGCACTGCCCCAGACCCTGATCCCTCTGCCCCTCCCGTTCTCCATGTCCAATTCCCCGTGCCTCCATCGCACCCTGCTACCCCCGATCCCTGCACCCCTCTGGCTCGCTCTGTGCTGTCCCTGCACTCTGCTCCCCCTGTGGGCCGTGAGTGAAGGGTGCTTGCCCATAGGGAGGGGCTGGACAGGGCAGGAAAAGGCTGCTGTAACCCAGCAGCAAGTGAAAGGGGGAGTTCACTTGAAGCGCCTTTGCCTTTATGGGAAACAGCAGTCAGGCAGCACAGTGGCTGAACACCCAGCCCTGAGTCCCCATGTACACCTACAATCCCTGTCCCCACATACTCCTGCTCTGATTCCTGCACCCCACCCCACCCACAGCTCCTGCTCTCCATCCCACACTTAAATTTCTTATAGGTACTGTACTATCGCACCCCCACTGCCCTGAATCCCATCCTGATCCCCTGCAAGAGGGGTAGGGGTTGCAGGAAGGCAGTACTTGTAACAAATGCGTTACTTGCATCACTGGAGGAGACCAATGTTGCACACAGACATACCTAGCCATCAGTACATTTGGCCTGAAGTTAAACAGTTTTCTAATCAGAGGAATGAAGTTCTGGGAGAACCTTCCAAGGGGAGTAATGGGAGAAGAGGGGGTGAGAAATTTGTTTAAAGACTGAGCTTGATGAGCTACTGGGGCAGAGGGTGGTGAGAGAGGCAGGGCAGGTGTGTAGATGGAGGTTTTAGGAGAAGGGATGAGGAGGGGTAGCTCACATGATCAGAGTGGGGCTACTGGAGGAGTGGGCACAGGGGGAGAGAAGGGCTGGTGGAGGGGGGCAGGTCTCAGGCAGGCTGAGGGCAGTGAGAAGGGCAGGAGTCAGGACAGCACAGGGTGAGGGGTTGGGGGGCAGCAAGCACCAGGGGAGCTGACGGAGCAAGGGGAGGAGACATGGCAGCAAAGGGAAAAAGAGGTTTATAAGATATTTATTAATAACCTGGGCGATATTTATTAATAACTTATTAGTAATTACTGTTTTTATTCTTATTAGGAATTTATGCCATTAAAAAATACTTTTTGTGGGGGAGGGTGACGAGTCCCTTTGTCTGGCGAGTAGGGTTTTCCATAATTTGTCGACCCCTGCTCATACCCACTGAAATGCATCCTCCTCTGGGATGTAATGTGATAGCTGCTCAACAGCATATAACAATGCTGCTATGCAGGGGGGTTCCAAAGAATGACTTCAGCTAAAACTTTTGAAGACATTATAGAAAGAAGCCTATGACTGTCCAGAATTCAGTTTTAGACAGGACAGGGGGTTTAATAGATCTACACTTGCTAAGAGTGCCATAGGCATCCTTTTTACCTGTCATTCAGAGGCACTCCTTCCAGCAGCACCATGCCAACACCTTGTTTACACAGTTTTTCTACAGCTTTGAGACCAGTGCAAAACCACTAGTATGGATTATGGACGTAAACGTGTACTTGACTATAGGATTAACCAATAAGCCTGGCCTTATCAGTTAATATTGTTGACTGCACACATCCCTCCCCCCGTTGCCTCTGTATCAGAGGCAGCAAAAGGGCAGGGAGCAGGAGCCAGCTTAAAAGCCAGTCTCCCCCCCGTCCCCCGCCAGCACTGGCTCTGCATTGCCAATGCCCCCCCCCCCCCCCCGCCCCGCCCGCCA